GGCGCGATGCATGCTACTCAAACACGAAAAACAAAGACTTTCTTTGACAGCGGCCTCGCGTCGTTTTTCTATTGCGTATGATCGAAAAACACTACACCGATATACCGGATGGGAGTCTGAGCAAAATGGGCATTTTTTAAAAACTTTCGGTGATCCGGTGGTCCCGGTTAATACAGCTCTCGGTGGTGTATATATTTTGTTAGAATTATTTTTATTAACGCTATTGTAGCCCTTAATGTTCTCTAAAATACGACAACGCTGGCGAACAAAGATAATTAAATCGTCTATGTTTGGGATATTAGATTGCGTCACCGTGGCTTCGAATAAACGGCGTGTTTCTGGGTCTAATACCTTAGCGGCCATATAAAATAATAAAAAACCCGATAAATCCTCCACACCGAGATTTTTTATGGCTGTTACATTATCATTAAACACATCAATAAAACCATTCAATGCGGATAATGACTCTGTAGCAATAGGTTTGAACGAAAATATTCTATCTAAATGTACCGATGCTAAGAGCCGTTGATTTTCATAACGCGTTATGAGAGCGCCCCACGCGTCGTCATAATTGGCGGCCGAGAGTGGGAAGGACTTTATTGTGTTTAACGCTGGACCCGATAAACATGATAATAATAGATGAAATCTGTCGATTTTATTAACATTTCTTGCGGAAACAAAAGACTCAAACCGTTCATAGAATGATCGCCATTTTTCGGGACTACCATCAAATTTAGGCAAATCAAAATTCGGTAAATATGTACTGTATTGCGGTTGAGGCGTTATAGGTGTCGATATGTTACTCGCGGAAGTGACTGGCGTTAAAACTGAATTGATTTTAAAAATAAGCGTCTCCATTACGTCAGTAACTGGAGAATCAATACATTCGAATTCTTCGATCAAATCTCGGTCAACCGAAGCTTCAATTACAGCATCTTGGTGTAATCGAAATTGCATAGCAAGGGAATCTAATTGTCGAGAACGAATTTCTAATTCAGGCGTTAGTGATGGGTCACTTTTCGTCCTTTCCGCGATCGCGTATATTTCTTTTATCGATTTTAACGCACGATCGCGTGATAACCGAGCGATAACAAGCGCCTTGTTGTTACCCGTGGTTTTTGCACCTTTTTTCGACATGATTACGTTTTAAGAATATCCGGCCCGAAGGACCAAAATGTTTAATCGACCGCCCGGATATCTATAGACGGGTTGGGTCGGATTATTAGCGTGGTTCAATTTTTAAAGGATTCTTAAGATAAAAGGGGATAAAGTGGACTGTATGTTATGGAGATAAAAGATGGTACTAAACAATAAATAGATATGTAGAAATTAAATGCAATAAAAGTGTATGTATTAACAAATGATAATATTAATGTAAAATTATTAAATAATGGGGACAGGGGGGAGAATACTTATAATCTAATGCCATCCGGCGCAACAATATAGAACAACAAATATATTATAATAGATGGTACTTATCGACCATTGATTATTTGCACGGATTGACGTTGATTCGATGATGACAACACATATGAATCTTCCGACACACACACCACCGGTCGGCTGGGCGAGCTAATTATGCACCAGGGTGCATGCGAATCGCATGGGCGATTTTATTTTAATGCGTACGGAGGTACGAGCGAATCGCTAGGGCGATTTCAACAAAACACGACTATGTGTAGTCCGGGCGAATCGCTAGGGCGATTAACTATAATGCGTACAAGGGCACGCGCGAATCGTTAGGACGATTAACAACACAAATGATTTTTTTCTAATTAGCGACCATGAGGCGAAGGCTAATACGCGCAATTGTTATCATTTTAGGTGTAGCCCCGGTTCATAATATGTTTGGTAAGTTTATTGTGTTGAACAATTGGGATGATATTATTTTAGTTAAAAAGCTATTACTTTTTAATATTTTTAGAATTTTGTTGCTGTAGAATTTACTCCAGTTCTACATTTAGCAGTTTTTAATTGGATAAAACTCATTGTCGGTACTCATTAACTTTTTCCTTTTTTTGTTGTTTCATTTTGCGTTCTTAAACTTTGTTTTTTACCCAAATATCTGCTATAGGTATTAGCATTTTATTAGAAACTAATTAAATGGTTAAATAATAAAATATATTGATGATATTTATCCGAAATATATTTTTTTAAATAATACTTACATAATCGGTTGCAAAGAATAATATTATATCAAATAATGATTATAGTACAGTTGAGTGTTAAATCACTATTAAATAAACGCTTCGGTGCTATTCTGTGGATAGTATATTCAATCCAAGCACAGTATGAACCAACACAGTAAGGAAGTATTTATGTGAGGTGCATCTACAAAGCAGCATCAAACGGTTTTGTTAAAAGTGATTTTATCAGAGTAATCCAGTATAGTGGGGTTGGAGCATAGTGGGAACGGGCAGTAGACAGGTCTACAGGAATTATTATATGTGAACGTGATAAAATTACTTTATAAGACACCTCTTTAATACTTTCATAGTTTGCTGGTTTATACTGTGCAAGGTTTTGGACTATACTGGTTTGAAAATTCTATCCACAAAAAAGAACTACGTTGATGCAAGGTTAGCTTTCGTGTTCAAAAACAATTATTCTGTTTTACAATACTGTCAGTATATTTTGTTGAAAACAAAATCGCTATGCTGGTTATTACTACTTTTTACTATTCACATGTTCACAATATGAATTTGATTAAATTTTCTTTGGGATTTAATAATAATTGATTTGACCTAACGGCGCTAATTTCTTACTCTCTGCTGTGCCTTTTTTTGGTTGTTTACTATTATTTTTGGTTCTTAATGACAACACTGCAAAAGTTGTTGCAATTTACATCTATTATTTTTAAATTTTGACCGAAAAGAACCGTTCCCAACGTGAGGTGGTCTTAAAAATAGTATATCTTTTTAAAAATTAATCAACTAATATCAAAAAAAATATTTGTATCAATGTGATTCAACATACAATAAAGTTCAATTTTATTGCCATAAGTTATCCGTTGAACAATTTGTATCATATACACATCTGTAGTATTGTTTTGTTACGGAGAAACCTATAAAATTTAATAACATATTTTTAAAAAAATGTCTTCATATGTATGATAAATACCTAATACTCCCCGTGCCCAATACGTCCCAGTGCCTCTGCGCTGGCTTTTGTTTTAAATTTTAACATTTTAAAGATAATAACTTATGGTTTTTGTAGAGTAAATAACAGGTTAGTAAATGTGTTATACTCTGTTTTAGAATAATGTAAATATGTTAGTCATAACGAAAAATGACTAATATTGCTTATGTTAATAAATTCGCACAAACAATTCTGCAAAACATAATATCTAAATTTTGTTGTTTTAATCGACATAACACAAGCCATTCGCCAGTTCGTAAGAAAACCATCGAATCAGTCTATTAAACTGCTATACATTTTCAATACAATTGTTCAAGTAAGTAATTTTATCAAACTTCATAAATGGTAAAACTATACACGTTCAATAATATGTTTTTATTCGTTTTTTTTCTAATTTAAAATTTTTTTTTCCTCATTTAGACCTTCGAAAACATTTTATCCACCAGTCCTTTTACATCAAGTCCATAATTAAGTAATACTATCGTTTTAAACCATTAAATTCAAACCAGGCATTCAAATTAGCATCAAAGAGCTTATTATTAAGTGATCACTTTTATTTATGACAACTCCTGTAACCCAGTGAACTATCCGTCCCCACTATGCTTTGATCCCATTGTGCATAGGCCCCACTGTACTGACTTGCTCAGGTAAAATCACTTTCAGTTGTTTTAATTCCTGTAAACCTGTGACCTCCCCACCGCCACTGCGCCCCGACCCAACTATGCTTCGTCCCCACTATGCCCGGCCCCACTATACTGGCTGTTTTATTGTAAATCTATAATATGTTTAATCAATGATTTTACTCTGTAATACAACCAGAATATAAGCAAGTGTTTTTTGCAGGCGTGATCTATACATAATACGCGATCAAACATTGTAACAAACATCCTATTGTCTCGAATGATTACATTTCAATACATTAAACACCGTAACAACAACACAGTGTTTGGGTAGAATTTAAAAGTTTTTTTTTAATATTTTTCTACTGCCGGTAAATACAAAAGAAAAACATCAAACACGGTTTAAAACTTGATAATTTGTATACAATTTAATAGTAATCTGCTGTTATTGGCTTATTCTTTCTATATATAAAATTTTGAAATAATGTGATTTTTTTTTTTATATTCGAATTTTCTTTTGTATTTATGTTTTTTCTTATGGTAAAATTAAACCTTAACAAGAATAGGTGCCTCACCATTTACTGTGAATATAATAAGTTACACTAATTGTTAATTACTATCAGCAGTTTTGCACATAAGGTTTTTTCCTGAAAATGATTTTATCACTTTCATTTGTATTAATTCCCGAACACCTAGAAGTAGCCGTCCCAGTATTAATGCTCCGTAACAACCATAACTTGACCACGACATTTAATTTAATTCTTTTTTTTGCTTTTCTTAAAAAAAATATATAAAGGGTTGACTATTCTAAAAGAGTGCAATCAAAAAAATATTTGCACCTTTTCTAATGAAAATGGTTAGGTGTATTTATGGCGATTAATATAATGTTTTTTTTTATTATTTGCAGGTAAAAATGCAACTTTATTATGTTTTAATGTCATGTGCCTTTTTGAATGTCTTGGCCTATAATATGAGTAATTATTTATTTTACGTATTCGAGTAAGTTAAAAAAGAAAAAACTAAACCTAATTTTTTCACAGGGGATTATTTTAAAGCAGTTTACAGTACAAGTCAGTAACCTCCTTTTTCATACATAATTGCTTTTAAGTTTTTTGTTTTTGGAAAAAAAAATTGAAAGTAAATTATTTAAATAATTTAGTAATTTAAATGTAATAAATTTAGACGGACTTATCGACCGTGCTGTTCGCATAAAGTCATTTCGTCATGAAAAATTAAGTAAGGAAAACTTAAAATAATACACTGATATAATATAATGGCTGTGGGGTTATTTAACATAACAGTGTGAGTAACTAGTGTTAAGTTAAATAGTCACCATTTAATTATTTTATACTTTTATTTTGAGAATTTATACTTAAATTATGATTTTATAGTTTTAACTATTATTTGATTATTCTAGATGCATTCGAGTATACCATAAGGGGAATGGTTTTATCAGATGATACTGATTTCGCTTTTGGTAGTTATAAACTATTTTATAATAAAAACATAAATATAACAAGATGCAACTCCCAAAAATAATCCATAACCGTTTCATGGGAATTTCAAGAAAGTATTAAGTTGAATTTATGTGCTCGAGCCAAAAATCCAATCAGAGCTCTATATTTCAAATTATCCTTTATACTTCATATTATGATTGCAGCCCATTTCACTGCATTTAAAAAAATTAAAAAAATTATATTTTCACCGAATAATTAATAAACATTTATTTTGTACCTTGATTTCTGTCTTCAAATATAATATAATATAATTAATTCCAATACAGTTGAACATGTAATCAATTTGTGTTGTCTTAATTTCAGATAAAATGAAGTTTATGGTGGCAATACCAGGTATTAGTTTGCTTAGCTTTTTGTGGTTATATTTCAATACAGTTATTTGATTTTTCATTAGGTATAAACGTGTTTTTGTTTTAATTTCAGAACGTGCAGAACGTGAAAATCTAGACAGTAATAATTACTTTTATAACTTTCCAAACTTAAAATGCTCTATACTACCATACGTACATAACTAATATAGATCGAGAACAATTATGTACTTCTATGGGGATTTCAATTTAGAGTTAGGGTGTACATTAAAGTTGAATTTGTTTTCAATTATAGGATACGTGAGATTCCAGTTACGTTTGCAACAGGAACTAACCAGAGTTACAAGTAAATTAAAAATGATCGATAAGTTAAAAAAATAAACATTAGATCATTTATTTCAAATTCATAAGGCGATATGTTTCTCGCCTAACGTTATAATGATTGTTCGTAAAATTATGTAAATCGTTAATTTAAACGGGACTTCCTACTAAAATCATTTTTATGTATACAACATATTTTACATTAATATAGATTTAGTTTTATCAGTTTTATTGTGAACTCTATAAATAAAAAATGTTTAAAATGGTTTTTATTCGTGTATTGTTATATTTTGACATTTTATATTTTCGTAATAGGTCTTGAACCGGTACCGCTAAATTCAATAAGTAAGTAAATAACTCTTTACACTTAGATTATCAATCTAATTTACTCGAAATTACTCGAATTTAAAAGAAGCAGTCTACTTCTCAATTTCGGCAGCATTGAAATCTAAAGTTTACAAAATACAAGTTTAAGCGCTTTATAATTAATTATCAGTTACATAGAGTGTCTTTGTCAGAGACTTGGATAAATATCTTTCTTTCGATTTTCTCTCCGACTTCTTCCAATTATATTAATTGTGTTATATTGTTGTTACAGCTAAGGAACCGCCTCGGACAGGTATGCATGCATATTTTATTAGTATTTACCATTAAAAATCAATACCGAAATATTGCAACTGATTTTAAAACTATTAAATTTAATGACTACATTGACTCAATTAAGTTATTTTTTACCAGCCAGATTTATTTTTTGAGTTGAACGTAGTTGGATGTTAGTGTTAAGATTTAGAAAATATGGCAATTATGACAATGAAGGGTCATATTGTCAAACAACCAACCCTAGTCGTTGCCGCCTTAATACTAAATAAAGAAATTTAAACGCTTTACCGGTCTTCTTTACTATATTTTTAACTATCAGTTACATAGTGTCTTCATCTGAGACTTTTTCCGATTATATTGAGATGTTATAATTTTGTTGCAGCTATTAAACTGCCTTCACCAGGTAAGCATGCATTAGTTATTTTATTAGTTATTCATAAATAGCTCTTTAGACTTAAATTATCAATTGAAATTTCTTGAATTAAAAAGAAGCAGTTCACGCCTCGTTTTTGGCAGGAATGAAACCTATCAGTAAACAATCATTAATATAATGTATTATATAAAAAAGTGGTGTCATTATTTGTAGGTTAACTGTATAACTTCTTACCGTTATAAAATGCTACCAAAACTTGAAGTGCTTTATTGTGTTTTACTCCGAATTTTACTATGATCTTTGTCTTTATTAGAGATTTTGGTATTTATTTTTCTTCTGATTTATTTACATAAAATTATTATTATAAAAATAATTATCAAAAAACGTTTAAAATGCAAAATTTTATAAATAGAAGTGACCTGAACTTTAGTTGACTCAGTAAGTTTATTTTTTTTTACTTTACGCTCTAAATTCAAGAATAATATTTCGTTTCTCTTTTGTGCAACCTCATAATTAATTTAATTTATGTTATTTACTATAATATGTTGTTGACTGTCATAGTTCTTTTTCATATTCTTTTTTGCTGGCTGTTTGATTTTATATTACATTTCAAGAGTTTTTGGCCGTTTATAAAAAATGAATGAATAAATAAGTTATTGATAATAATTTTTTACATATCTGAAAATAGAACTGTAACCTCTCTTATTCCAATTTGGTACGTTCCCGCTATGCTTAGAACTCACTGTACTGGCAATTGTATTGTGTATTACAGAAGATCCTATTCCACAACTTGAAGAAATAGTAAAGGTGGCAAATGTCCTAAGGAAAAAAACTAGAAAAGCTTTGTGGGGTCTCCTCATGGAGGATGTTTTTATACCTGAGCAGCGTAAGTATTATAATGTTATAATTTAATTGGTCTTTTAACCATAGTATATACCATATTACTGTGTAGTATACTATACAGAATGAAAAATTTAGTTCACGTTGTATAAAAATACTACGGAAAAAATCAGATGATCGTGAGTGTGTGTTGGTCAACTTTATTAGGGTATTCAGATAACGACACTGGTACTGCATTATATTATCGTGTACATAATATGATGACTATAGTCATCATAACAGTTATCATCATAACTTAAATGATTTCAATGATAATGTTTTTTTTTAAAAATGTTTAGAGTTTTATTTTTTTCCTATATTTTTTATTGTACACTTGTATTATTTGTATCTTGCAGCTACATTTGACAATTAATTTTTTTCATATTTTTTTAGACCAAGATCATCGTTATACTAATGATGAGAGATGTTTTATAGTAGGATTGGCATCGAGTTGTATAAACTACAATTTTGCACGAGCTGTGCGTGTTGATGAAGATCGAAGTACTGACACTGCGCATGAAACTGGTCCTATTTGCGCCGTTATAGGTATAACGGGCGGCGAAAGAAAGTACATAGTTCGAGACTACGAATTTCGAGAAGTAACCCGTGGTCAACCTCATGTATTAATACAAGGTAAATTCGGACACCTTTATAGTCAGTTACTAGATACAGAAATATTACGACAATTAACGGTTAATGTTTTAAGTTAATATCTTTATTAAAGTATTTAAATAAATATCATATTAGATTTCTCACACCAGTTTGTTTTTAATATTTAATACATAAATTGTATGGTACTGTTATAAATATATTTAACTCATGTTTTACATAACTCGCACATATTGTTAAATAATTTTGAAAGTATATAATAAATAAACAGTTTTCCTCTCTATTTAAAGACACGTATGTTGTTTATTTATTGTTTTTATACTTATATACTGCTTACTTCAAACTTAATAGTATAAATTGGAATGTATCAATACAATTTGTTACTATTCAAAAAAATAAAGACGCTGTGCACTCTGTTGTAGCGCTGACAGATGTTTTTTCTAATACTTACTCTTACTTTCTAGTACTTAATGTTTATATCAATAAATGTTTTTGATTTTTTGGGGACATACGATATAGGGGTTGTTCGCCTGCCTCTTCAAATGCAATA